AGGAAGGAAGAGGGAGGGAGGAAGGAAGGAAGGAAGGAAAGAAAGAAAGAAATAAAGAAAGAAAAAGAAAGGGAAGGAAGGAAGAGGGAGGGAGGAAGGAAGGAAGGAAGGAAAGAAAGAAAGAAAGAAAGAAAGAAAAAGAAAGGGAAGGAAGGAAGAGGGAGGGAGGAAGGAAGGAAGGAAGGAAAGAAAGAAAGAAAGAAAGAAAGAAAGAAAAAGAAAGGGAAGGAAGGAAGGAAGGAAGGAAGGAAGGAAGGAAGGAAAGAAAGAAAGAAAGAAAGAAAGAAAGAAAAAGAAAGGGAAGGAAGGAAGAGGGAGGGAGGAAGGAAGGAAAGAAAGAAAGAAAGACAGACAGAAAGAAAAAGAAAGGGAGAGAGGGAAGGAAGGAAGGAAGAGGGAGGAAGGAAGGAAGGAAGGAAGGAAGGAAGGAAGGAAGGAAGGAAAGAAAGAAAGAAAGAAAGAAAGAAAGAAAGAGAAAGAGGGAGAGAGGGAAGGAAGGAAGAGGGAGGGAGGGAGGAAAGAAAGATGGAGGCAGGGAATGAAGGAAGGAAGAAAAAAGTGGGAGGGAGGGAGGGAGGGACGGAGGAAAGAGAAAGAAAGAAAGAGGAGGGAGGGAAGGAAGGAAGGAAGGAAGGAATGAAGAAAGAGGGGGAAGGGAAGGAAGGAAGGAAGTGGGAGGGAGGGAGGAAAGGAAGGGAGGAATAATGAAAGAAAGAGGGAGGGAGGGAAGAAAGAAAGAGGAAGGAAGGAAGGAAGAGGGAGGAAGGGAAGGAAGGAAGAGGGAGGGAGGGAAGAAAAAGAAAGGGAGGAAGGGAAGGAAGGAAGGAATGAAGAAAGATGGAGGGAAGGAAGGAAGGAAATGGGAGGGAGGAAAGGAAGGGATGAAAGGAAGGGATGAAAAAAGGAAGAATGAAAGGAAGAGGGAGGGAAAGAAGGAAGAAAGAAGGAGGGAGGGAGGGTGGAAGGAAGGGAGGACGAATGAAAGAAAGAGGCATCCGGAGCAGGACTTCACAGAGGCTTTGAACTTAAAGGGGTCTATACCAGGAGCCGGGGGAGGGGGAGAGTGGGGGGGGGAGGCTGTGGACGGGAGACCCCTCCTGGAGTGAGAGAGGGCTGTGCCAGGCCAGCTCCGCCCGCAGCCACACAAAGAGGCCATTCAGGACGGAGGTGGGATTTATGACCCGGCTCCAGCATCACCTTTTCAACCCGGGGTCTTGGCTCAGCGCCTGCGGAGGAACCCCTGCCCACCACTGGATGCCATTCCTCCGCCCCGGGACCCCCTCCAAGGTAAACAAACCAGCCGGTCGTGAACCCACCCGGGGGCTCCTGGCCTGGCCACAGACCCTCCCCCCCGCCCCCCACACGCCTACCTGCAGTCCACCATGAGCTCATCCAGCATCTGAGCCACCAGGGAGTCCAAGGCGCTGGCAGAACGCTGGGCTTTCTGCGCCAGGTGGACCAGCTCCAAGTTGGCCGCCTGCATTGGGCAGAGAGCAGAAAGGCCGCTGAGGGAGGGGCCCTGCCTCCAGCCCTGGCAGCCTCCACTTGGCCCACGGAGCAGCTGAAGGGCGCATGTGGACACTGGCACCACACGGCCTCTTGTGCTGCAGCCGCCAGGAGCCCCCGGGCCTCTCTCTGACCACCCTGGGCAGCCCCTTCGAAGGGGGGGGGGCTTCCTGGGCTTGGTCGTTTTCTTGCAGACGTTAGCCCTGAAAACGTTCCCTAGTTGGGTCATGAAACGCCTGCAAGGAAACCACCCAGCTCAGAGAGAACCAGGGACCCTTAATTTCAACCCTGAGCCACAAAGATTCTCCCTCGTTAGCCCCCTTTTGAGTCCCAGCCGACACCGATTTGAATCAAGGAACGCCCGCGGGTGACTTCGGATGCGGCCAACTCAGCCGTGCCCTGCGGACTCCGAGTCCCAAAGGCGAGACGGAGGCCGTGCTGGTGGGATATTTGCACAGGGGTCAGAGTGTGGAGTTGTGTTCTCAATCTGGGCAGCTTTTAAGACGGGTGGACTTCAACTCCCAGAATTCCCCAACCAGCCGGGCTGATGGATGGACTTCAACTCCCAGAATTCCCTAGCTGTGCTGGGGAATTCTGGGAGTTGAAGTCCATCCGTCAGCCCGGCTGGTTGGGGAATTCTGCCCAACCTGGTGAATAAGAGCATCGCTTACAAGACCGGATCGTCTCGTTCTACTAACTGACGGAGGCGGCAACCATGTGGGGCCGCAGAGACGAGCAGAATCTCTTCTGGACCCTCCCTGGGGGGGCTTCCAAGGCCGCCCTTCTCAGCCCCAAGCCCTCACCAGCCGGTCTGCAGCCCTGGCGAGGAGATTCTGGGCATCCGTCCTGTGGCCACAGTCTTCCCAGTAGGAGGAGAGAATCACCACCGGTTTCACGTTGCCCCAAGGAAGGTAGTAGTACTGGCAACCTGGAGATGGGAAAAGCAGAGAGGCCTCCCTCTATTTATTTACTAGCCGATAACCTGGCCTAGCCCAGGTGTTTACTTATTTATAGGGAGAAAATGTCCGGACCAAACGTAATTTCTAATATCGGATTTTCCCCCCTTACCAGAGGGAGCCCCCTTGTGGAGGACTGTGGAGCCGTTACCATGGCTCAACTCCACTGTGCTGTACAGTAGAGGCCATTTTACAGCAGTACAGTAGAAGCCATTTTAAGGCACAACAGCCTGCATCTTAACAGAACACATACCCGAGGGTATCTTACCCCCACGGTATTTTTCTCCAGAGAGTAAGTCATTTGCGTACCAAATTTGGTTGAAATTGCTCGAGAGTTATGCTGGAACGAACACACACACACACACACACACACACACACACACACACACACACAGAGGATGGATGAAGAGCTCTATGGTGTTCAGACCTCCCCTTCCTTGGAGAAGGCCCAGCTGAGAAGGAAAGGCCATGATCAGCAAGCTATTCCGTCCAGGAGTAGCAACACCAAAGACCTCCCGTTCCAGAGTCAATCTCTGGTGACCGGCCTGAATTCGATCTCGGGTTCTGCTCTGCGTAGTCTCCCTGCCTGGGCCTCCCCCTCCTTCCTTCCTTCCTTCCTTCCTTCCTTCCTTCCTTCCTTCCTTCCTTCCTTCCTTACTTACTTACTTACTTACTTACTTACTTACTTACCATCAAAGACCGCCCGGCTGAACTGCGTGGTGGACGCCAGGGGCAGACAGGTGTTGTCGAATTTGTTCCCATAGTTGCCGATGCTGACCTCAAACTGGACGGCGTCCCCCACGCCCTGGAGCATTGTGGCCGAGTAGAAGGCAGCGAAGAGGTTGTACTTCCGCCGACGGAGGAACTTCTGGAAAGGACGAAAGGAATGGGGTCGTTCTGGAACTGTGGTGGGAAACCTATGGCGCCCCTGCCCCGGGGGGGCTGAGCCCTCTCTGTGGGCACCCAAGCCATTGCCCCAGCCCAGCTCCACAGCACATGCGCACACGCCTCCTGCCTGCCAGCCAGCCGATTTTCGGGTTCCTACCGTCCATGCGCGGGGGGCGGGGTGCATGCAGGAGGGGAAGGGGAGTGTGGGGGTGTGTGCGGTGAGCTCCCCCCTGTGGCCTGTTTTATGGGGGTCATACGCAGGCATGGCGGGGGAGGTGAGGCGCAGGGGTGTTGTTGCACACGCATTATGGGTGTTGGTGCATGTAGGCATGTGCTTACAGCACACGACGACAAAAAGGTTTAGCCATCCCTATGCCAGAAGAAGCCCCCCCTGGACACTCCAGTCTGGACTGAGGGCCACAATTGGGATTTGTACAGGTAGTCCTCAACTTGGAACAGTTTGTTTAGTGACAGCCACACTGGGGGGAAAAGGATTTAAGAGCCATTTTTCACACTTAACGGCCGTTCCGGCATCCCTGGGGGTCCAAATTCGGATATTTGGCAACTGACTCATATTTAGGACGGTCGCAATGTCCCAGGGTCACGCGATGCTTCCCTCCCCTCCCCCCCACCCCGCTTTTGGAGCAAAGCTGTCTGAGGAATTCTGGGAGTTGAAGTCCACAAGTCTTAAATGGGCCTGGGCGATCATTTCAGACGATCAGCCTTTCCCTGAGAAGATGAAGAGGTGGCCTCTCTCCACAGGAGGTCCCCAAGGGCACGGAAGCCTCACCTCCACTCTCAGGATGTCATCCGCAGGGATGTCCCCCAGCTTCTGCTCCACGTAGTCCACCAGCTTGGTCTCCAGTTCCACCAGCAGCCTCCCACGATAGGCCACTCCTTCTCCCTTGGGATGTAAGGATGAGCCCATGAGAAGGTCCGTCCTTTCACGAGCCGGTTCTTGCCTCCCAACTTGGCCAACTTGAGTGAACCCAACGGCTTCTCCAGCTACTCAAGTAGAATTGTCTCACCTTGCCACTGTTCAGGTCTTCATAAGGGTCAGGAAATCCAGTGAACTCCCTCGGACTGCCGTAGAGGTTGATGTAACATGGGCCAAAGGTGGGAAGGAAGCCAAGCCCATCATCCACTGCGGAAAGAAGCCCACGAAGGTGGAATGATGGAGACCATTGTCTACCTGAAATAACCCACCCAAATGTCCTTCTACCGGTGGCCCCAAAGAGAAGAAAGAGGTTTCTGAATCTTTTGAAATTGCAAAGAAATCCTTGTATATATATTTTTAAACTCATGACATTAAACCAGGGTTGAGAATGGACATGCTGGCCATCTTGACTCAGTTATGATCCTTTGTCTTCTGGATTTCTAGCAATCAAAGCAAGCTACCCACCCTCAGAAGGCCACCAGTAGAGAAACTCAACGGCTACTCATGGTTTAGAGATACCTTCAGCAAAACCAGACAAATTTGCAGTCAACTTCCCAGATTTAGCATTTTCGGCAAGCTCTATTTTGGGGAGATGGCAGGAGGAAAGGACACCCAGCAGCCCCCTCCCAAAAAAGATGAGCCCTAAATCTCCCCTCTTTCCCAGAGTTATCCATGCACAATCACATCGAGGGAGGATTTAAACCGAGATTACAAATCGAAGCAAGGTGGGTGATGATCAACCCAAGGGCAGCCACATGCCTTCCCTGGCTGAGGCCACGTGCATCGTGCATTTCGATTCCCAAATGATTTTAAATTCATTTCAGAAACACACTCGGGAGCTCTGGTGGGGGGGGGCAGAGGGGGAAGAGTCATGCCAAGGACATACTGTCTGTTGCTTTGAAGTGTTTCGTAGCGGCGGGAAACTCATCTGAAGCACAAAGAAAGAGGGGGGGAAGTGAAAAAGTGAGGTCCTTTGGGGTGGTGGATCACCACAGCTTCCGCTTAATACTAGGTATATGTACTGACTTTACAGTGGT